AACACCGTTTTTTAAGTTTCTGTCATTCACGGTGGCGCATAACTCCTGCGCAATACTCGTGCATTTTATTACAGCTGGACGTAATGAGTGTGCGGATGTAGCTCGATATCACAAATACATCTTATGCAGGATTAAGAACCGACAAACACAAAGGAGACGGGAATGAGGAGTCTTGGCTTATAAACCGTCGTTAGCTAGTCTTATGAAAACCCGGATTTGTTAAACATGCGACTGAATCTCGCGTTTTTGATCATCGAAGGTTAATTGCTCAACGATTTAGCATTGATAGACTGTCGCTTTGTCCTGCCTTTTGTACTCATGTATACTAAATTAGTTTGCCTAGTATGAGAGCTCTAGGTTAAGCCTTGATCCGGAAGTTGATGAGAACGCTCCGTAACCTGGACTTGACAATGCTTCTGCCCAGATTTTAACATTTCCCCAAGCACTGAAATTGCCAAGCTTGTGGAAGAATTAAGTCCATCATACTGACCATTAAGATGTTGCAAAATTTGAATGCAAAATATTCATAAGAAAGATCACTTTACTAAATACTAAAATACCTTCAGATTCCTTGGGCCCTCTATACCGTTCATATTTGTTTTAATTTATCGAGCCGGACGTCTCAATTTTACAAATCATTTGAAGTCGTCCGTAGCAATGGTAGGTCGCGCTTCTGGTCATCTTATGATTTCCTAGGCCTCAGGTGTAACATGCACAGATGCCTGCCTCGATAAGTTCACCGAATTGAAATTGAAGAAGTCATGCCGATATGTCCTTTACAAAATTGTTAATGAAAAGGAGATTGTCATCGACAAAATTGGCGAGCGATGTACGTTCTGACCCCCTTTTTTAACCCCGTTAGCTTGCACTTTCGAGGACTTCAAAGAAGAACTTAAGTCCTGCCTGAATGATGCTCGTTATTCAGTCTTTGACTTTGAGCCGTCTGAGAACAAGCCAAGCCTTATTTTCGTGACATGGTAAGTGTTAATTACATAATAATCGTGATCAGGATTCCGGACACTGCAACTGTACGCACGAAGATGTTGTACGCTTCCTCATTGGATGCTCTTAAAACCAAGTTGGTCGGCATCAAGGCTGTCATCCAGCTAACGTGCATCGATGATGTGACCCCTGAATACTTCGTCAGCTGTTTGCCAACACCCCGCAACTAAGGTTTTACTCTACTGCGAACTTTCGGAATCTTTTTTTCAAAATACAACTTTTCGGCTTGTATATGTAGGTATTGTCTTCTT